AATGTGATGATTTGTAAAACTAAAAGTTTACAGCTGTAGGAACTAAACTAATCTAAAACTAACAGTGTGGCAAAAAACAAAACCACATTATAACCAGTAGATGGCAGCAGAGGAGCACTTATTAACCAACTATTAACTAAATGTCCCCTCCCTAAAATATGGAAGTCTCACGAAAAACAATTTTTCTCTTCATATTGTGACTGAATTACACAGTAAACAATTAAAGAGCTTTCCTTTTATAATCACTGAAGCTGGCGATCAGTTCAGCGAGAGAAGCAACGGTACATTTCATAAGAGGAAAAGATTGACTTTTTCCCCACAAAAATCAGGTTTTTGTTACTGTTGTTAATAAAAGTTAATTTTATCTGCATCTCAATTCAAGCTCAGTATATTACGGTCAAATTTTCAATAAGAAAACATGTACTACTATTAGTAACTGCACTTATTAAAGGGTTAGTTCACCCAAAAATGAAACTTCTGTCAGTATTTTCTCCCCCTCATGTTGTTCAACCCTGTAAGACCTTCGTTCATCTTCGCAACACAAATGAAGATATTTAAGATATTAAGATCGCTCCTGCATACAGTCCATAGGCTTCTAGAGGGAATGACTCTTGCTGTCCCCGAAAAGTCATTAAAGACATCGTTAAAATAGTCCAAGTGACTAGAGGGGCTCAATCTTAACTTTATCAAACGACGAGAACACTTTTTGTGCGCAGAAAAACAACAAAAATAACGACTTTATTTCAACTATTGGTTTATTTCTCCCTCTGCGCGAGTCAGGTTACTAGTTTAATAGCGTAAGCTTCTGTTATTGTACGTCACACGCATCACACACATGACCAGCGTCGGCCAATAGTGAGCCTTCGTGTGACGTAGCTTTACGCAATCACACTACGTTAACTGACTACAGGCTCATGGAGAAGGAAGTGAATAGTTGAAATAAAGTCGTTATTTTTGTTGTTTTTTTGTGCACAAAAGTGTTCTCGTCGTTTGATAAAGTTAAGATTGAGCCCCTGTAGTCACTTGGACTATTTTAACGATGTCTTTAATGACTTTTCAAGGCCATCAATTGTCATTCCCTCAAGAAGCCTATGGACTAGTATGCAGGAGCGATCTTAATATCTTAAATATCTTAATTTGTGTTGCGAAGATGAACGAAGGTCTTACGGGGTTGGAACAACATGAGGGTGAGTAAATACTGACAGAAGTTTCATTTTTGGGTGATCTAACCCTTTAATAATCTAAATCAATAATAGTTTAGTGATTAAATCAACTTGAATTTGAACCCTAGCGCTGCCAGATCAGGTGCGGCGTGCGCTCTCGGCTCACACACACTCACCGAAGGTTTTCTCCAGCTCCTCGCATCTCCTCACCTCGTTCACAAACTTCCTCTGGAATGCGTTGACGTTTGGATTCAGCTGTGATCAAGATTACAAACATCATCCTCAAACATCAGCAAGCCAGTGTAATGTAAAGTCACTTTATAAGACATGATAATGAAGCACGGGCGTTCCTAAAGGGCTCATATGATGCTTTCTAATGTTTCTCTCTCCTTAACTCTGTTTGTGCATGTACACAATCTGCTAAATTAAAGAGCTTAGCATATCAGCATGTAATCCTGTTCGATCACATTTAATAAACAAGATGATAATCTTTTAAAATAGCATCATAAGACCCCTTCAGGAACGACAGAGAGAAGCAAACAGAAATACTCACATCTCTGAACTCCACTATTCCCAGCTCTCCCAGTTCACTGACGCAGTTGTAGGCGGATCCAGACTGGAGGAAGAGCTGCACCAGACAGACCTCTTCACTGCGAAACAGAGAGCCCATGACCTGCAACACACACTGGACACATCAGCTGAGACACACACACACACATCTGGACACAACAGCTGAAGCGCACACACACATCTGGACACATCAGCGTTCCTCTTCTGCTCTGAGTCAGTGAGTGTGTGATTCAGTGAGTGTGTGATGAGAGTGTGTGTTCCTCTTTGAGGGATTTCTACTGTGTCATAACTACAGCCTTCAGAGAGATCAGGAATATTCCAGAATACAGTGTGTAATCTCGACTGTAATCTGTACCGTAAAACAGCCAGATGATGATTTCATGCAGCGACATGCAGTGAGAGAGGTTACACTTCCTCTAACACTGCTTTAAACATCACTTTATTGTTATCCGCTCTAAAGAATAGAGGTGGTTTTCTCATTTTTAGTTCCCCAAAGAAACTTCCAGCGATCACGTTAAAGGTTCTTCACGGAACCATCGATGCAATAAAGAACTTTTCATTTTAATTGAGAGACTACATGGAATGTGTGACATTTTATAAATCAATCTAAAGCACCACAAACTTTGAGTGACACACACACTCACTATGGTCACGCCGCAGGACTATTTTTATTTAAGTGAATTCAAAAACCTGTTGCAGCATCTAAAGTATACACTTCCTCTTATTCATTCATATAATCTTTACATCTATAATCTTGATGTTAACCGGACATTGAAGGGTGGTGTGTGTCAGCTACTCAACTTGTGCATTTGGGCCACACTAACCCAGCTCATAAACTCATATTTGATAAACACCTGGTTTCTGTTTGATATTAGAGGTGACATATGGATCATGTGATCCCCTGATCACGCGCATCATCATGACAGGTTCTGACAGAAAATACAAATCAGAGCTTCAGTTCCTCTTTCTGGAGCAATTGTGCTGCATTATACGGGGAAATACTTTAACGAGGACCGGTTTTAAAAACCCTCAGTTTATATTGGATCATTTATAGTGTCTCGAAGTTACTTTATAATCTATTCTTTCCACAATAAAGTTTCATTTTCGTTTTCCTGGAAGCATAAAACCTCGTAAAAAGCGGTTTTCATCATCGACTGATCAAGATAAAACTAAAGCGTATATGACGTTAAAAGACTGGAAACTGTATCGAACAATGTCACGAGCGCAGAAAACCCCAGTGTAAACAATCAATGTGATCTGCAAACTTACCGGAGGATAAAACACCGACACAGGAGCGACGACACCAACAAACACTGGCTTTTATCCCTTGGCGATGAAGGTCTTGTAACGGAGCGCACAGTGTGTCTTCATGAAGGAATATGCCACAGTTATCACAGCTGTAAGTTACTCAGAATCACATTCCCCAACTTCCCGTTTCTGCAGACGGTCACGTTACTGACGCTCATCACGTGACTTCACGAGCGCGTAGAGCTTTCATTAGACAGAGACACAGAGGTTGTTATTAATTCATGCTATTATAATTTATATGTTGTGTTGTGATTTACATGTTGAACATTTTGCCTTGTGTCTTATCAGAATGTAAAAAATATGCGATTTTTGCGAAATGGAATTAAAAGTTTGTATTCCTCCAGGGGGCGCTGTGCGGCTCATACAGCTCAATCGTGCATTAAACTCCCTGCAAAAATCTAGACATCTTTCTTTTCTCTTTTTTTGTCTCACGTTTGTTTTTTTATGTATAATCTTTGATATTAATTTTAAATCTCTACATCACTCTAACGACTGCGGTTAGTGTGTCCGAGTAGCCGCCAGTGTCACGTGACCAGTGACCACCGCGCCTCATCATCAATCTGAGGCGTTTTACAGTCTATGATCTGAGGTAGGCTAGTAATTTATCCCTCTGATCAAAGCATCATTACTCCAGTCTTCAGTGTCACGTGATCCTTCAAAACCATTCTAAGATAATTTATTATCAATGTTGAAAACATTTTCAGCTGATTTTTTATTTTGTGGACATCATGATTTAGGCTACTGTCATATAAATTTGGATTAAGTCAGAATACATGACTCTGGATTAAGTAAGATTTAAAAAAGAAAGACAAAAAGAAAGAAGTTTGGCTAATACATACAATAAATGCTGAAATAAATGCATTAAATATATTGCTGTAATATGCAAATTAGACTTCAATGGCATTGATTGCATTGTATTGATAGCATGGTTTACATGATGTATATGTCATCGACTCTTAGTTTGGATTGTCTATATAAAAATGAAATGTAAAATGTGTTTTCAATAAATATATGGCATAAATGTAATTTATGAAGAACATGGTGTGCACATGTCTTTTGAATAGTGTGTTACTTATTGAGGGGTGTAGAGCCTGAAACCTTGGTTCACCCTTTCATCACATTACGGCTTGACTACTGCAATTCTCTTTTCTATGGCTTACCCATCTAGAAATAAAATCCAATTTATTCAGAACTGCGCAGCTATAGGCTACATACACAAAGAAGTCTTCCCACATTACTCTGATTTTGCGCAGACCTCATTGGCTACCGGTACAAGATACTCCTTACAATCAAACCACTCCATGGTCTTGCCTCCCCCTTGAGTTTTCTGAAAGGCGCTATTTAATAAACGTATTATTTAGGTATTATTATTATTATTATTATTAAACTGGGTATTTTGTGTAAATTGTGTTATTATTATTATTTCTTGTGGTCTGTAGCCTACATAAACAAACAGCATGTGACTTGAACATATATAGGCCCTATATTTGAAGTTCCTCTTATCTTTTGTGGAATAAACAATGCCAAGTAGTTTATTTTACTTGCAAGACAAAGAAAGTATATAAAAAATGTTAAATGCATGTTATTTAGTATTTAATACAATTTCATTAAAAATCAAAGTGAATCATTCTGAATTTGGGAACAGCCCTTTTTGCCAGAAGCCTATGAATCATAAATCGAATTAGACTAAACTACACAATAACTGTCCAACACTCCAAACTCTGTCCAGACGGTGGCGCTAATGCACCAAAAGCCGGTTTGCCAAACACCAGTAAACCTTAGATTCACAACAACAGCACAGGTGTAACCTCTTTTATAATGTTTCAGAACAGTGCTTTTGCTCTTAAACATTAAAAGTCTTTAGATTAAAAAAGCAGATAATGACGCAGAATCACTTTTACTACAGACTCTGTGGACTGATTTCTACTAAATCGTACCACGTGACACACATCAGTCAGGATCCCACAGGAGAGTCTGAACAGCGAGTGTGTAAAGACTTCTGGATTCTGTTCTGTAGGACAAGCGTCTGAACTTCTTCTGCAAGTAAGCTTCAATACTTACAACATTACTGATATCTAGGGGGATATGTGCGGATGTCATAGTGTGATAATGATTATGTTAAAGGCAACTATCCATTGATAGTGTAACTGGAAAAAAAAGATAAATGAATGTCTGGTTTCATTTTTCATTTGCATTTTATGGTCCGAAAATTGAATTGTGAAGCGTTACACGGACCATTAAATTATAACATAAGTTATAACTTGTTGCAAAAGTAGAACAAACGACCAAAAAGGAGTCATCTAACTCAAACAAACCGTTGTATAGGCATTAATTGTGCAGAAATGAATAATGCTTTTTCTAAAAAGTTTTCAGTTTGAGGATGTAGTTTTGTGAATTCAAAAAGCAAACATTTGTACGTTTAATTCCCTCTGACACATGGTAGAAAAATCGTTCAAAAATGAAAAGTGAACGTATACTATTTTGACGTTGTGTGTACTAATATATATATATATATATATATATATATATATATATATATATATATATATAATCCAGTCTTTCCAGTTAGTGAGTGGTTAAATCAGAGCCAGTGTAACGAGATGTTTGTTCCCGAACTGGAGGAGCATATGAATAATAGACCTTTCTCACAATAACCGGAAATACGTAATCGTTGTGGAAGCGGAGTTCGTGTCAGCCGTCAAAACATCAGAAAAACACACCCGTCCCGGGGAAGAGAAAATGTAGTACATTGATCAGAGAGTCTTCAAAACATCGAAAAAATGTAAACGTGTCATGGTCCAGTTGTTGATGACTTTGTAAAATGCTGTGGTGATGCTTGTCAGCAGCTGTATCTAAGACCAATATGACTATTGATTTCAGAACTGAAGCTCATTCTTCCCAATATATTCATTAAAGGTGAGAAGTGTGTGGAAAGTTATAAATATTTAGGGACTATTATTTACAATAAACTGTGTTTTGACGTGCATATCAGTTTTATTCAACAGTTATCCTCTTAGGTAGTGACCTTTAGTTTTTTGCACTGCTCTTGCTGTAGAACGATCAAAGATGAAGAACAATTTACACAAATATTAATTTATCCCTTGTACAATCATTGTTAAATACTCAGAATGGTATATATTAATATTTTAAATTTATATTTAGCCTACTGTTGTGTGTTCTTATTTATCTTGTTTTATATTGTGGTTTATATTTTTGTGTTTATTACGCTGGATACAAATTGTCCAGGATCTTAATGAAGTTGAACATCAACTACTTCATAATATACAAATCATAATACATAAATAATAAACATAAACAATGATGGGATAGTGATTGGTGACATGAGAAGTACAAAAGATCGCAGGATCAATAACATTCCACCAGATAGCCTGAATCAATTTCCGTCAAACTAAAACTGAGCGTATAGACAGTCTGACGCTTGTAAATCTTCTAGTAGCTGTGCCAGGTTTTCTCGTTTTCTCAAAAACGTTGTTGAAATATTTTGTCCCGTTGCTTTTATGGACTCTCCATCTATGCACTTATCCTTGACTTTGTGCCTCCATGTCCCCCCGATTGCCTCATAAACAGTATAAGATTGGCTTGAGCTTCTCCTCCTGTCTATACAGTAATGTCTCTATTGTGCGACAGAAAATCCAGTGGTTTTGACACAATTATTAGCCTATTTTACAAAAACGGCTTCTACGGGGCCGTAATGTAAGATACAAAGTAATGGAGCCTTTTATACGTTGTCGTGTTTCTTTCGAAATAAATAATGTACAAATGAAGTCTTTGGACGCCTCAGATGTAAGGTTATTCGCTGTCAAAGTGACACTAAAATGAATGGAAGTCAATGGGAGGCTAACAGCAGGTGATAGTACGCTACAATGGCGGCTCCCGCGAGGATTCAACTTCCGGCGGATGGATTACTACTATGGAGAGTCTTGGCACTTCCTATTAGCCCCGTTGCATCCTGAGAAAAGTGCATTTCTGGGGGTGAAACCCCATAGACTCCCATTCATTCTGCACTCGCCTGTGAGCGCCCCCAGATGGACAGAGACGTGTTACTGCAACCAGTCAAATGGTTCCAACAGATTTTGCTGTGGTACTGAAATTGGTACCGAGAACTGTGAAATTTTAATGGTATTGCTACTGAATACTGTAATTTTTGTATCGTGACAATCTTAGTCTTCACCGATACTCTTTCAGTCTCCGCACCCCCGAGCAATTACACAAAAACATTCCTTACATAGTTAACTTCAGGTGTGTCACCTGTGCACACTTATCAGAGAAATCACTTATATGCTCAAACAGTATAAACAACAGAATATATGAGGATTTACAATTCATCACCAGCCCTTCTGTAAACAGAGATAAACAGAATAAATAATATTATAAAAGGAATTAAATAAATAGGCCTAAACAAAACTTATTACACTTAAAAAATTTGAATCAGAAAGACCTTTATTGCCAAGTGTGCTTGCACACACAAGGAGTTTGTGACTTAAAGGGTCATGAAACCCCCTATTTCAGCTCAAGTCTAGCTCACAATCTTTTTGAAAAATGCAACTTAAATGGGCGTGGATGCTGTGAGAAGAAGGGCGGGGAGGGGGTGTGGCCTGGCAGGGGAGGGGGAGGGGGGATAACTGTCATTGGCCAGTGGCCCATGCATATCAACTGTAACTAAAATCAGTTGTAAAACGTGAGGAAATGCTAGATTTTTTTATAGCTGCAAAGTTAAAGTCTAATGAAAATACACATCTTATTTTTGTTCTTTCAAAAGTAACTGAATGCCCTGCCTATATAGCCTACAGTAATTTAAAACATATTAATGTACATGTACTTGTAATTATAAAATATATATTTGTTTATATACACACTATAAATGCATATATTTGAAAATAATTCATTTTAAATTAATATAAAGATATACTGCTCTTGCCTGGGTGACCCTCTCCCGGTCCGAGGAAACAACTCTTTCCCATCCTCCCAGCGTGCGCGAAACACATGAGACACCACTGGAGTGACCCGCTCAAACTCAAACATGGCCTTGTGGGTCTAGAGGTGAGGGATATGGGGGCTCTTGGCATGGGTGATCTCTCCGCTATCAAGCCATCCATCGCCAGACACCTCAACCCAGTCCAGTCCAGCTGCTCGCTCCCCCTAATGGACTGTTTTTCTGCCTTGGTGCATCAGGCCCATATAGATCCTCGGCCTTGGCTGTAAACATTTTTCAAAATAAAAAATATCAGCCAAGGACTGACATGTAACGCAACCAATCACAGTTCGTTTTGTCCATGTCATGTTTAGTGTGAAAATGTAAAGTCGACGTCACAGACCGGTGTACATCTAATAAATGAATCATTCGAGAACACTGTGCAAGTTTACTGCTACAATAAAGCTGCAAACGTCACATACTTTTAAAAATCTCTGCTGTTATTATTAGGGCTACTGTAGCCTAACTGTTATTTACAGTTATTTACTAACTGTGTGTTTTTTTTTGTGTGTGTTAAATTATTGTAGTGGGGTTAGGTGGCTTAGGTTTTATTGTGAATTTGCGATTTTATTTAGGCTACTTATATTTATTTAATTAAGTATAGGCTAATTTAAAATTGTTATATAATTTTCTAAAAATTTTTTACTGTTTAACGGTAGGCTACTGTTTTAAAAGTATCAATTTGGCACCATTATCGGAAAAACCCCAAACGAATCGATACCCAACCTTAAGAATAATGGGACATCCAGTGTAACTGATGTAACTGATAAAGTGCAGTGGGTGAATCGTTTGTTGGCTTAACATTTGTTATTAGTTCTAAATTTTCATCATCATTTGTTTATCCCTCTGAACTATCATGATATTAATCTCAGTGCCTCATTGTCATGTCCAGGTCATGCTGAGCATCTGATTGTCTTCACCAACACCAGTGCTGAGCTGTTTCCAGGGGCAGTCTATCTGCAGTAATGTCAGAGGAGCGAGGAAAGGACTCTCTCTATAAGATGAGTCTCTCAGAGAAACAGAGGTAGGACTGCGACTGTTTCCACAGAATCATTTTAAACACTACTGGAGTTTCAGGTTTGTCCTGTACAGAACAAAGTCTGAACAACAAGGAGTGTTTGCTCACACCATTGCTCTCGGCCTTGACTTTGAGTGCTCTGTGTTCCTCAACGTGAACATCTCCCCAGCTGGCCTCTTTGGATCATCCGTCAAAGATTTCGCGGATAGATTTGCTGAGATTCAGTAGACGTCACAGGCTATTAAGCACTTCTTACCAAAGCTCTCTAGCTTCGCAGCAGATCACCTAAAACAGCCGTCTGCTCGAAGCTCCCAGCCACAGCCTCCGCCCTCTTCACAGCGCCATCAAGCCCGGGACTAGAGACCACGCTCTCGCTCTGTGTGGGCCGCGGCAAAAGATTGAGATAATGCCCGAGGCCTCAAAGTCTTCCTAGCCCTCCTAGGAAAACAACAGTGTTTAAGTCTCACCGCGGCCAGACTTCCACCGAAACTTTTTGCTTGTTCAGTTCCAGAAAATGCAACGGTTCCAGTGTATTTTGCAGTAAACAAGCCGGTACCATGGCCTGCTTGCCTGCACACAAATGCCGTTTCCACGGCGACCCAGATAAATCACATAAACAATGTAATTTCTGGAGTTTTCAGTGTAATAAAAACAAACACACATACAGTCAGCTCAGGCCAACGGTGTTTTCAGTGCAGTAAATCTCAGACTCGTTGTGAGTCCCTGGTGATTATGCACTAAATGAGCGCTGGGCGCTGGGCTTAAATCTGTGTTAAACTGGGCTTAATTAAACATGAAACCTGCAGTATTTCATGTATAGAGTGTTTTACATTTCTGTTCTTTGTGTCATTAGTGTAAGATCAGGCTCACATGTGTCCAGCTCTGTGTCTGTGAAGAGTGACTGCTCAAAAGATGAAGGACCAATATTCAGTGAGCGAAAACCATCAACTAACAAAAGGTATTTCATGTGTTTCTTATTGTTGGTCACACATAGAGTGTTAGTGAATATTTCAGCAAATATTTATCATAAAACTTTCCAATTTACAAACAGCAGTGCTATAAAAACCCAAAGGGAGCATCAGCAAAAGGATTGAAATCTTGAATTGAATTATAATTCATTTTTTTGTAATATGCATTCATTTGAGTCTGCTTACATAACTACTGCACTTATTAAAATACCTATTGTCAATGCAGAATTCACTATATGTTTATACTTAAATAGATCCTATACTTTAACTGCGAAAACCTAAATTAAACAAATGTTTTCTTGTTCTCTGCTAAAAATATTAATATAATTTTGCCTGAAAATGCAGTATTTTCTTTTATTGGCTAACAGGCTTCAAAGGGAGACATTAGACTCAGACGTTCAGACTCACAGGAACAACAGTAGTTTCAATGACAATCTCCTAGGCATCTTCCAGGTAGGAAAACACATTTTAATGCATGTTTATATTTATAAAAAAATAGTTAAGTGAACTTTTTTTGCAAAAATAACAGAATAGAAATTTTAAGAACCTATAAAATAATAATCAAAATATAAAAAGGAGAGTGTTGTTTTTGTACTTTTTGTGCAGCGGATTGATATGTTTGGTTTTTAACTGGTTTCTTTTAGAAAATATTTTTAATCACTGAATAAATAGTTCCCCTTCGTCAGATCACTACAACGTGAGTCAAGAGATTCTGATGAATGGGGATCGCTTGCAAGAGCCTATTTACTTTGAGTGAAACTAAACGAGCCAATGCACATTGGCATGCGATAATTGCACCAGCTGCCGTGCATCACTGCGTGAGCATATAATAAGCAGCAGGTGCGTTTGCATCCTTGTCTTTCACTTCAGAGCCAGACGATGAATGCTGTTCCTGCTCTGCTATCTTATCTGAGAGTGTTTTAACTTCAAAAGATTAGTCTGCTTCTTCGGGAGAATGCTTCTTCAAGCTGGTGTTGGTGTTACAGCACAGACAGCACTTGCACAGGCTTGCACTATCATCCTGTTTGTGTAGCTGCGGTCATCCCTGTGTGCTTCAGCACCAGAGAGAGCAGTTTCCTGAAAGAGCATACACTGTTTGACTGGGTCTTTTTCAAGATGTCATTCAGACCTTGTTTATGGATCCGGTCATTTCTTGTCCTCATGTGATGGTCACAATCACTGTTTCACATGTCTGGGCTTAAGCATGTTGAGACTGCTTTCGTGGGTGGTTCAATGTCAGACTGCCTCTTCCCTGCATGTGATGGCCTGTATACTGCAGGCTGGGCGACACCTAACACGTTCGCTAGATACTTAGCCTCTGTGCAGAGCCAGTATCTTCCCGTATACTCGCCCCAGTGACCAGTAGCGTGAGGGACCTGTTCTTAGTGTCAGCTTGCAACGACACTCCCGCCCCCATGGGCTGGATATGTGCGTCTATTTGCTCCAGTAGTGTTCACCAGAAATGGCAAACTCTGTGAGTTCCTCCGTCACCCCTGCAGCAGTCAGACGTTGCGGAGCATCTGACGCCAGGCCTACACTCGTTTGCATTGTGGAACCTGTGTTAGGCAGGGTGTCCATATGTAGCCCATATGTGTATTCCTCCACTATCAGCTCCTCTGCGGATGAGCCTGTGTCTTTCCCTCGACAGAGCCTGCTCTGTCATCTCTGCTGGTGTTCTTTCCCCCCTATAATTAGGCTGGAACCACCCCATATGCCATATATTGTACTACTCTGCTTGGCTAGTCCATATGTGTATCCGTCACAGTGCCTCCCTTCGGGGTAGGATGTGGCTTCCGTAGCGTTCCCTTCCCAAAGAGCACTTATCCATTAAGTAACACTGAGTGGGTCTTGCGGAACGGCAGTGACTGACCTTCTCTGCTTATGGCTCCTACTTCTGTCCAACACTCGGTCGTGCATTGTGCATTGGCTCATTAGTTTCACTCAAAGTAGATGTGTTCTCGCAAGCGATCCCCATTCGTCAGAATCACTTCTGACTCTCGTCTCCGTTCCCTCCTTGGGGAACGAGGGTTACCGTATGCAACTGAGATGTTTTGGATATGGATGTGGATCTGGTTAAATTGTGTTGTTCTGTCTCTTATTTTACTTGCTTTGTTTTTAGGATATTGAGAGCAAAATGATCATATTTCTGAAGAATGAACTTGAAATGTTTAAGAAAATATTACAAAATGGGAACACACAACCCATTGTGAAGGCCTTTAATGAGAATCGATGCAGTATCAAAGCAGCAGCTCTTGATCTCACTCTACATTACCTGAGAGAGATGGAGCAAGATGAAGCTGCTGATGCTCTAGAAGGTTAGAGACTCATAGTCATCTATCTGATTTTCACTTATAAATGTAGGAGTGAAAATTACGACTAAAACTATCTATTTTCTATTCCTGTGTTTAGATGAGCTGCTCTTCATTCATCAGCTAAAATGTAGCCTAAAGAAGAAGAATCAATGTGTGTTTGAAGGAATTGCAAAGCAAGGTGACTCCACACTCCTGAATAACATCTACACAGATCTCTATATCACTCAGGGTGGCAGTGAACAAGTTAATACTGAACATGAGGTGAGACAGATTGAAGTTGCTTCCAGGCGTCATAAATCACAAGACATACAGGTTGAATGTACACATCTATTTGAAGCACCTGAACAAGATGAGGAGATCCGAACTGTGCTGTCAAAAGGAGTCGCTGGCATTGGAAAATCAGTCTCTGTGCAAAAGTTTATTCTGGACTGGGCTGAAGGAAAAGAAAATCAAGATATCAGCTTCATATTTCCTCTTCAATTCAGAGAGATTAACTTAAAGGAGAAAGTTAAATTAAGGCTAAATTTTTGTGGCTTAACAGACAAAAGCTGTTCAGTTCTGGCTAAAATTCTGGTATCAGATACCAATCTGAAAGAGCTGAACATGAACAATAATAATCTGCAGGATTCAGGAGTGAAGCTGCTCTGCACTGGAATGAAGAATACAAAGTGTAAATTGGAGATACTGAGGTAAGTTGTGTTACAATAGAAGATATTTTTAGATATTCTTTACTTTTAAATATGTTTTGATCATGACAACTCAGAAAAGTTTTTTTTGAATGTATTTGGCTTGGCAGACTAGATCTGCTACGCAAGGTTATAATCGTTAACGAAAACGAATGAAAAAACGAAAACTAGATGGAAAAAAACATTGTCGTTAACTGAAATAAAAATGAGACATTACAAAAAATGATAACTAACTAAAACTGTAACGTGTGTTTGCAAAACTAACTAAAATAAATAAAATTATAGAGCAAATTTCTTTAGTTTCCGTCTTTGTAATGTCTTTCATTCTTTAAAGCTAGTTAAAACACGCAGTGTATTTAACTGCATTGCCTTTCCCTGCTCTCCCTCTGTCTCTCTGTCACATGCACGCCCGCACACACACATGGCCCCTCCCCTCCGTGCACACCACGTCTCCATGAAAACGAGGGTTCGACATTGAAAGCAAGTTTACGAAAGTTTGGTATCTCGTGAACATCTTTACACAATCACACATTAAAAAGTGGTGTAAAAATATGTAAAATTATGAATACAGTGTGTCAGTGTGTTGATGTCGACACGAGAAGGGATTGCGCCTTTGTTAGAAAGTTAACTAGTCGCAAATTTGAGGTAAAATGCAGTTGGGTATCAATGTCAAAACACTATAAGCTGTGATTCAAATATTAAATAATGTTATGTCATTATTTTACTCTTACACTGAATGTTTACCGCAGTCCAGATGAGTGTAGTGTATAGGTTAGATTTAGTGTAGGGTGTGAAAATTGTACAGCTGTGGGATTTGTATAGGGTGTGAATTTTACATTAAAAAGAAAAGAAAGAAAGGAAACTGAAGTGAGAAGGGGAAGTAGATCCTGAGGTGTACTATAGGTCCTCCTTATAGTAATTAGAGTCAAGGCAGAGTTTGCATATTTTAAACTGATGAATGATCTGGACTGATTTATTGAAATTTGGGTTTTGAATGATGTTTTGTCCACAGTGGATTATGAAATGAAAGTTCATGATGAGTTTTTGTGAATTTTATTTAATAATTTTCTACATTTATGTGAATTTATTAATGTTTTTGTGTGGTGGATATACAGTATATATGTTTATGTATGTATATTTGAGAAAATAGATTTGGATGAGATTTTTATTTATTAATTTTTTTTTTTAAATTAATTAAATGTTTTTTATCTAAATAATGAAATTGTACAAAGGTTAGGGTTTTTATTTTTCTATTGAAAATATAAAGGATGTGTCACAGTTAAATATTGGTTGAGGTATGTCTATACAGTGTAACTATAAATTAAGGTGTGTTAAAGGTCTACCTCTCTCTCTCTCTCTAATGTAGGTTAAGCTGGTGTTGTATAACAGATGAAGGCTGTTCTGCTCTGACTTCGGCTCTGAAATCGAACCCATCACACCTGAGAGAGCTGGACCTGAGCTGGAATAATCTAGGAGACTCTGGAGTGAAAAACCTCAGTGATCTACTGATGAACCCTCAATTCAAGCTGGAGAAACTAAAGTTAGTATCATTATACTGCACAGCAGTTACAGTGTAATTAAAGTTTACTGTTTATTTTTTTAAGGCAACTGGAAGTCTAATCATTTATAGTATTGCACTTTCTGTTGTTTCTCCATTTGAAGAAAGATTCAGAAATACCATTAGTTAACCGCTTGTGATGTGTATCAGTAGAGCATTAAAGCATTTTAAACTATGTGACCATAAAATTGTTTTATATACTGAAATCTGACAAATCTTTGCTTTGAAATGATACAAAAGACTAAAAACAGCGTCTTATGGTACTTTGTAAATGTGTATGTAAGAGATAAGGTACTGAAGGCTGTGCTGTATGGTGAATAAGTCACGGCTGAATGGCGTTGTTTGGCTCGACGCGAAGCAGAGTCAGCCGTGACTTATTCACCATCAGTGTTGTTTTTGGCGGCCTGTTTTAATTTTAGTTTTAGTCTAGTCTTTGTGTCAAGCTGTCATTTTAGTTTTTATTAGTTTTAGTCACATTCATAATCTTTTTAGTCTAGTCTAGTTTTAGTCGACATTTTAGTCTAATTTTAGTCGATGAAAGACATAGTCTAGTTTTATTCAATGAAGCCGTGTCTGGGTCTGAGATCAAACTTTGAGTCGTCAACTCCAAACTCCAAACAAGAGGGGCTCACAGAGAGCGCCTCCAAATCTCCAACTCGCTTGATTGATGCTTCAGCGAGAGTATTTTAAGATCAACCGACTGAAGCGGTTCAAACGGTGGGCCCCGTGGAGAGGTCCCAAGATGGAACAGATGGAGGTCTGGAGGGGTTAAGCCTCCTGGCTCCTTTCAGAAAACGTACCACCAAGTAATTTCTTCCTAGTGACCGGCCAGCCACCGGATCATGATAAGCTGCGATGGCTGCTACATACACTTTGAGCGTGGACGGGGTCCTGCCCGCATCCAATAGCTCTTGTAGGAAGGAGAGCACCACTGGTACCTCGCATGACACAGGTTCAAAACTTTTGTCCAGACACCGGCTGGAAAACACTGGCCATTTAAAAGCATACAGATGCCTAGTAAAAGGGGCCCAGGCTTATTTAGCACAACACTATTTTACATTCATATGAACTTATTGCTCATAATGTCTTTGTTTGTCCATGTATTGTGTTTTTGTCCTTGTTTTCCTCTCTTTCTGTTTTACTGTGTGTTGCCTGCATTGAGAAGACCAAATCAAATTCCCAGTATTTGTAATCAATGGCAAATAAAATAAAATAAAAGCACTTTGTAATAATGTCTAATTAAGCTTAACTTAAAGAAAGTAAACTTTCATCACAATATTTATAAACAGACTTAAGTGCCCTTTTTACAAATGCACGTTGTAATAATATCTAATTAAGTTTAACTTAAAGTAAACTTTCATCACAATACTGTATTTATAAACACACTCAAGTGCACTTTTTACAAATGCACTTTTTAATAATGTCTAATTTAATGTTACTTAAAGAAAGTACGCTTTCATGACAATATTTCTAAACACACTTAAAGGCACTTTTTAAAAATGCTTACTTAAGTTTTACTTAAACATACATTTTAAATAATTATGATTTTATAGTGTTTTAAATAAGTACAGTTATGTTTATGTATTGACTAATACACTAAATAAAATAATAATTTTAATGGAAAATATGGAAAATAATTGATTTTAATTTCAACTCAAGTGTGTTGTCCAAAATTATTTTGTTACTGTATTTAAAATTTTTAGTCTATAATATACTGTGTGCATTAATGCAATTGAAATGTATTTTCCCTCTAAACTGCAATAAATTTGCTTATACAGGATAGTCCAGTAAAACTTATTGTTGACATGTTTATCACCAGCTCCTGCTCTATGAACCCAATTAAAAGTGTTTTCTACATAATATTTGACAATAAAATGTAATTTATGAGTTCTTGATGTAATGGATTGTACTTAACATCTGTGTACAGAATACTTTTAATATCATTTTGTTGTTCTAAGTCAATTAATGGTGCCATGGTGATGGTGCAGTGGATAAGATACATGCCTTTGGTGTGAGAGACCCGGGTTCGAATCCACTGTGAGACACCAATGTGTCCCTGAGCAAGACACTTAACCCCTAGTTGCTCCAGAGGCATGCGACCTCTGACATATATAGCAATTGTAAGTCGCTTTGGATAAAAGCATCAGCTAAATGAATAAATGTAAATGTAAATTAAACACACTTTTAATTGCATTAATTGCAAGCAAAGTTAAACAAATCTAAACAAAATTAATATTAAAAATTAATTTACATTTAAATTTTAGTTTAAATACATTTAATTTAAAATAGACTAGACTTTAAAAATGATTGACTTTTAGTTAGGAGAAGTTTTGTGGACTCACAGAGTCTAACAACACAATGTCCTTACCCTAACCCTAACAAAATCCTTTCTTAATCATAAAGTGACATTGGCCAAACTTTTAATACAAACCAGCCAATGACGTGAAGGCGCATGAGTGAATGTCGCTTAATTGGTCAAATTGAGAGTCACCATAATGACTAACTAAAATTTTTTTGTACAGTTGCATCTTAATTCATTAAGGTAAATATTACTAAAATATTCACATACGTTTTGATTAAACGCTAAATGTAAAAGAAAAAGACGTCCATTCTTTAATTTCGGTTGAGTTGTAACTTGCACTTTATTTGCCTGAAACTAACGTTACTTCGACTTGATCAGCAACTTGTGACATTTATTGTGTGACCCTTTCAAAGGATTGACTGGAGATGATTCATAATACATAATAACCATATTTCACATACAACTGGAGTAAAGTACATACTGTAGAAAGATGCATTAAAATCACTCTTAAGTTCAACTGATTGCATTTAATGTACATTTAAATATATATATTTGAATTTATTTAGTAAATATGCATTTGTGTTTGAAAAATTACATTTAATTAATAATTATGTGTACTTCTAATTTACATTAAAGTATATTTTAGTTCACATTAATTGCATATCACTGTTTGATGTTCTGCTGAAGCTCATTTGGCACCTGCACATGACTGAAGTTGGACTGCGCGTCTGAAAAGTCTTTTTTGTGGTCTTAAAGAGATGGTTCTGGGTTTAAAAAAGCGCAATTCTTGTTAATAAAAAAGGGTGGCCCCCTATCTCCGCTAGTGCTCAAATGCTCCTGTCTTGGATTATTCACATCATTAAGTTTCCATGATTTTGCTGGTGTATTAGTGACTGTATGGCATTTATTAATGATGCATTTAACTCACTCATGGACTGAACATTTAAGTCATTTTCTCTTTCTGTCTTCAGTCTTTATAGATGCAGTATTACAGAGAAACAGTGTCTTATCCTGACTTCAGCACTGAAATCAAACCCATCACACCTGAGAGAGCTGAACCTGAGCGGGAATAATCTAGGAGACTCTGGAGTGAAAAACCTCAGTGATCTACTGATGAACCCCCAACTCAAGCTGGAGAAACTAAAGTTAGTGTCATTATACTGTACAGCAGTTACAGTGTGATTTACGTTTGCTGTTTAGTTTAAGTTAAACCGTTTATACTGTAGGATTGCATCTTTTGGATTCTCATTCATAACTGTGTGTAGGATCCTTATTAAAAGTGTATGTGCGCCTTAAAACCAAAAATGGCGTGTGCCAAAAAAAATCACTTATAAAACGGTGCGTACGACAGAACCTGCACAAAAACTCCCCATCGGGACACCAAACTGCTCCGTCTCAAATGTGCGTTCACACGGCTCAGAGTTTGCGTGCATGTGTGCAAGTTTTCTTGTCAAGTTTGTTTTTATAAATCACAATTTACAGGTTGGAAGTAGGTTTGGGTATCGGTTGGGTTTTATCCGATACCAGTACCTACTCGGTATTTTTTAAACGGTTCTGGTGCTTAAATGGTTCTTGAACCGGGACTTAAGAAAACGAAACCGCACACATTTTGTCAAAAAATAATACCCTTTTATTTACAGGGCCAAACTGGACACAATATTAACTTAAATCTTTAAACAATATAAATACAAGTAACATATGGTAATAATAAATAAACCAATATAAAATAAAAATGCATATAATATCAAATAAAACAGTATTGTATCAAACATTATAAAATGGTTAGTTAGCACGGCTTTGACCGCTTCACCCAACGGTTCTATTCATCACTGCGCAACACCCTTCACAACCACCCGTATCAACATTCTAGCAACTAAATTAAAAACATTAATAAAATAGATTAAAGATCTATCAAAATATGTGCCCTTGTTTGTTTATTTATGTAAATATTTAGTACGGTTTATTTATAAGTGCAGAGAAAAAATAATGGAAAAACTGAAAATTAACATTTTCTCATGCAGAGAGATTATCTATATTTGTGTGAGGAAATATCACATATTGTGAAATTGTGATTTTTCCAAAAAAAAAATGAAAATAAAAAAATTAACCGAAGTTTGAAACGATTCCTAAGTTGTTTTTATTTGAGCTTTCATGCATATTACACATTGGAACACTGTTGCTGTTCACGGTCAGCGACTATATTTTTTTCTAGCGGAAGGAAGGCTTTTAGTGATTTTACTTCATGAAATTTACACTAATACCTTTTTTTTAACTTTAATATTTGTATTGTGTGGTAACCGTTTTATAAAAGCAGTAAGGTACTCGAGGCTAGTGCTGCATCATGAATAAGTCACGGCTGAAGGGGTCGCAGGGGTTCGCGTCTTGCCTAACAACGCCCTCAGCCGTGACTTATTCACGATCACGATATTGCTCAAATATAATAATACTGGAGATTAATAGCACGTACAGGAAAATCTTTTGCAGCGGCTGCCCCCAGGCTGTTTAAAGGTCATTTAAAAACGTACTTCTTCACTTTGGCATTCTATATTAAGTATATACATACATATAAAGTTTTCTATCAATTGACACCTACTTTTTAACTCTCCATCATTTCGTTTTGAGTCTTTACTTTTGTGTGAGTCACTCAGAAAAGAAAAAGATAACTCTTAACAATGCCTTCAGGGCTTAGAGGGTTAATAAGATGTTTATCATAGATCTGAGTCATTTTCTCTTTCTGTCTTCAGTCTGTATAGATGCAGTATTACAGAGAAACATTGTCTAATCCTGAGTTCAGCCCTGAAATCAAACCCATCACACCTGAGAGAGCTGAACCTGAGCGAGAATATTATAGAAAACTCAGGAGTGAAGCACTTATGTGATATACTGAAGGATCCACCCTGTAAACTGGAGAGATTGAGGTCAGTAACATTCAAATTCAAGAAAGTAAAAGGGTTTTGATATTTGAATGAAAGAGAATAAAGAGTTCCTCATTTCTCCTGATGTAGGTTAAGCTGCTGTTTTATGACAGATGAAGGTTGTTCTGCTCTGACTTCGGCTCTAAATTCGAACCCATCCCACCTGAGAGAGCTGAACCTGAGCGTGAATAAACTAGGAGACTCTGGAGTGAAAAACCTCAGTGATCTACTGATGAACCCCCAACTCAAGCTGGAGAAACTAAAGTTAGTATCATTATACAGCAGTTACAGTGTGATTAAAGTTTTTTAAGGCAACTGGACTCAAGTCCAATCATTTATAGCACAGCACATTCTGTTGTTTCTTCATCTGAAGAAAGATTCAGAAATTAGTTAACAGATTTCTATGTTTTCCAGTAGAAAGAGCATTAAACTTTGAAGCATTTGAAACTTTGTGGCTAAATTGTTTTATATGCTGAAATCTGACACATTTGGTTTCAGGAGTCAGTCTAATAAGCTGTAGGGAAGATCTACATTGAAACAATTTTATAGTTTGTGAAATACTAGAAAACGAATGCTTAAAATGTCATCTTAACAGAAATCAGAAATTTTGAGATAATACAGAAGTGATTTCAGACTAAAAACAGTGTAACAAATTACAGAGGATTATTCTGACCGAGTTACAGTTATATTGGCCTAATGGTACTTTTCACTAAATCTTAATTTATTCAGCAAAATGTGTATTTAGAGGTTGCAAACAAGGACAGATCCAGACTTGGATTGTAACTAGTTTCCTCAAATGCTTCTGTCTTGTATTATTCACATCATTAAGTTTCCATGATTTTTCTGGTGTATTAGTGACTGTGTTTTTTTAATGATGCTTTTAACTCACTCATTAACTTAACATGGATCTGAGTCATTTTCTCTTTCTGTCTTCAGTCTGTATAGATGCGGTATTACAGAGAAACAGTGTCTCATCCTGACTTCAGCACTGAAATCAAACCCATCACACCTGAGAGAGCTGAACCTGAGCTGGAATAAACTAGGAGACTCAGGAGTGAAGCACTGCTGTGACGTACTGAAGGATCCACACTGTAAACTGGAGAGATTGAGGTCAGTCACATTCACATGCATGAATCAAAATGCTTAAAATCACTAACAGTTTAAACCAAGACACGTTATGCTCCCTATCTCATGAAGAGCCGGAGTTCACAGTATATTTGTGTTAAATTCTTCACCTTAATGATTTGTTTGTAAGATAATCTCTCTTCCTCTGTTTGTATTTCTAGTCTACAGGACTGTGGCATTACCGATGTTTCTCCTTTAACTCAGTCTTTGACTAACTCAAAAGCACTGAAGTTTTCAGAGCTTGATCTGAGACACAATAATATAGGAGACTCAAAGCAGCGGCTCAGAGACAAGCTACGAGACTCAAACTGTGGCCTGAGGTGAGGAAACATCACTTTATAATATTAAAGAGATCTTCATTTACCTCTGATATGTGAACAAACCTTTTAAACATTAATTAAAGGAAAATTATTATTAAGCTTTGTTGCAACACAGGGTTTGTGTGAGAACAAAATGTAAAGTTGATTACAAGTTGATGATGTCGCTATCAGCTGGCACATAGGCCCCATTAGGCTACAACTTGTGCAATATTGATAATTTGTTGGTAGATGGCGCGACCCATTTTGTCTAGCAATAATTTGTTCGCAAATGTTTGCTTGAATGTTGTGCGATTCAGTGCGAAAATGAATGGAAACACCTTAAAATGTCTCAAATCAATTCGATATACCAATTTGATCGCAAAACAGCATGTGACGTCATTACGCACAGTTTTTATTGGCTTTAAAGCCGTTGGTTGGAAACACACTTTCACCAGCTTTATTCGCATGAGTTTTTTTACCGACACAAGTGGATGGAAACTTGGCTAGTCACAGCTTTATACAACAACACCTGCTTTATTAACTGTGTCAGTAATAGGTAATAATTTCAGTGGTCAGATTGTAGTAAAACGCCGCACTCCTGCTAAAATCAGTGCCGTTCCAGATCCAGCATCACATGAGAAATGTCTCTGTCTCTGGTGTGTTTTTTACTGTGACAAGCAATAAGCCACACTACTTTACACTTACATTACTTTCAGTTATTTACTAAGAGCCCTACAAACATGTTTAAACGAGAGGATAAACGGCTTTAACTTGTGGGTTTATTCTATACGCCGTACACTCATCAGCATGTTTCTCCTTTACAGTGACTCAATAGGAAAAACGACCCTCTTTCATGATTTAAATGGATTATACTTAAAATACTCAAGTATTGTTTGACAAATATCTCTGCAAGAGAATGGAAAGTCATTAAAGAAGTATTATGCTCTTTGTTCCACTGAACACTGATTGTTTTCTCTTCTGGTTTCCCCTTACAGAGTAGATGAAGATCGATCACCAAACGTACCTAATAAATCATTTACACCAGTTTAAATCTGTGAAACGGAGATCATGAGAGGATCTGAAACCATCAGGAGATCCACAGAAGAGCCTCATTACTGTCTATGAGGAGAAATAAATGTGGGATTAATGTGTAAATGTGTTTCATACAGGTGGAAGAGACTTTCATTTAAATAATGCAGCTTGTGTGTTAGTATGTGTATAAGAAACACGTGATATTGAATAATAATTTTGGTTTTGTATTCAGCCAAATGATGGTTTAGTTTTATTCAAAGGTGGAACAGAGGAAGCAGCTCAGCAGAATTCGTCAAGCTCTTCAGTTTAAGGCCTACAAATATATTAATGTTAACTCGTACATAATTATTCAAATGTTTCTAATCATAAATGTGAATATGAATAAATGTATCATATGATAAAAGTCTACAATGTAAAATTTCCTTGTTAAGAATATGTTGTAGTGTATCTGGACTGTGGACTGGACTATCATTCATTACATTTGAGAATGCTTTTAACCCCTTTGACTCTGGCCTGTGACCATAGAGTCTGCGTTAAAATTGCCCATTGACACCTTTACGGCATGAGAGCGTTTACCCAAACACCAATGAAATATAACTCGCCCAAACCTCAGAGGGATCAGTATCTCCTCAACGCCTTTCTGCGGAGAAAGGAATGCCAGGTCATCGAAGAGAAAGCTCCTTCAGACACAGACACACACACACACACACACACACATATACACAGACTTTTCCATTAAAGGTGGGGTTGACTGCTTTTTTTCTTTGCATGATTGTGTTTATGGGGTGCAATATAACATGTATTGATGGTTTTTCTTTTTTTTAAAGACTTATTTTTCATAAACTTCACCTTTATTGTCAGCCGCGCTCTCCTCTGTCCTCGAACGAGCGGTTGACTTCCTGAGTCTATGAAACCACTCCCTCAGAAACAGGCAGTGGGCTCAGATTGGTTCGTTTGGGCCGGTGTGTTGTGATTGGCTAAACTGTCGCTCACGTTGTCCGGAAGGTTAACGCCCATTACCTTTACGGGCGAAACGTGCATGTCGTGAGCTCCGGTCCAGATGTAAATATGTGTCGAACTGCAGTATCAGTTTGAGGCAGAATCAGACCGAGAAAGCCGCGATGAAGAGAGTCAAGCAGAACCTCACCACACACGGCTCTTAATAAACGTTTCTGAATGATAATTTGCTACATTTTTTAACTTTATACATGTTTGTTTTACACAATAGCAACTGACTGGCAACAATAGCAACTGACTGGCTACTAATGTTATACTCAAACAGCGTTGGCATTAGTTACGTTCTTGATCAAATCGAAAATAACATCATAAAGCATATACATGAAAAATATCTTTAAAACATTAGTACTTATACAAAATTCAGGTCCATAATGTTTGTACGCGTAAACTGCTGCCTCTGGTTTTAAAGTTGGAACTGCTTCATGTTTTAGTAACAGTTTCTTGTTGAATCCGGTGTTGAACTCGTGGAGATTCTGGATTAGCATACTGATGAATAATTAGATTATTATTCTCTGATTAGCCTAACTATTATATATAATAATAACCTAAGATTAGCCAATAGAAAAACTGGGCACACTATGTTTAACATACTTGGCTTAAATTTGATGCAATAGGCCTAATAGAGACCTACTTTTTTTCAGTTCTAAATTTCTATTTAAATTTCAGTATTGTGATTAAGAAGTCGTTAAACTAAAATGTTTCACTTGAATTGATCTGCTACCAGTTCTCAACGAGCAGATTACACAATCGAGAGAATCACTGACACTTTTCAAAGTCTGTGAGTGTAGCGCCTCTTAGCGGTAAAAGACACACCCCAAAGTATCAACATCATAGGTTAACGGTGATTCAAGGATATTTGTATTGGTTTTCTCACCATTGTTTCAACATTAATTGCACGTTTTTTTTTTGTTTTTTTTTTTTTTTAAATTGCACGTTTAAAAGTGATATTGAACCAACATCACATTCTTGTGGAAATTCAATGCAGTTAATGTTGACGCCTAATTATTATTGCTTGGTATATGGGTCATATATTAAACAATCCCTTATCAATCTCCACTTAAAGCTAGGGTATACGATTTCAAAGATTGTTCATTATTAATATCCTCGTTTAGATGCTGGTTATGGTTATATAGTACAATCCTAACAATATGAATAGAAAAAAGAAGGAAAATATCCATTCACTCTATTGGCTGTACAGCCGCATAAAAGTTGACCAATGAAAGCTTTGCGGACGCAAAGCTACATTGGTCAACTGCTCTCATCCAATCACCAGCTACACTTGAAACTCCGCCTGGCGCTCGCGTCTCCACCCCACCGCACCCGACCGCGCCCCCCTTCTGCGTCATGAGAATCGCGTGCGTTAGCAGCTGACCGCAAATGGTAGCTAGCTAAGTAGCATATCAGCAATGGATAAAAAACGAAAAAGACAACAGCAAGCGTCCCCTGCTTGCCCCTACAAGAAAATGTGAAGAATGTCGAAATTTGAGGAGAATAAATGTAGGGTCCACCATTGACCGATGGAGGAAGCTTCAGCGAGATCTGGGACTGATACCGATGCGGACACTGCTGACTTTTTGTTGAGCAGGTAACGTTAATCATTTATTTATACTCTTATATGGCATGAGTCGCGTGACGTGTTACATGAATAGCTTTTTATCAGTCTGACAACTTGCTAATGCTGCCGGTCGGCATTGGAATGTTAGCTGTTTAGCATCGCCTATCACGGGTCAAAGTAAATATATTTCTGGAAGTGCTTGATTATATTTCAGTATGCCTAGCGGGTTTCTGTTCGAGCCGATCGAAATTTAAACAAGATGCGCTGTATGCTGCTATAACAATTATTCAAAACCTTCGCAATACTACTATAAATACTACAGTGGTACCCCTTACTTTTTATTTTTTTTGGGCGAAAAATTAAGTTTCTCCAATCTTCTTAAAACTCTGGATTCTGATAGAGGGCCATGAGGCTTAGACCTGAGTGCAAAAATGGAGGCTCTAGCCCCTTCCAGAGCTGAGATATCGAAACTCAAAAATTCGGCCCGAAAAAAAAAAAAACGACAGTGGTACCCCTTACGTTTTTTTTTTTTTTTCGGGCGAAAAATTAAGTTTCTCCAATCTTCTCAAAACTCAAGTTCAAGTGTCTAAAGGCAATTTTACATATGATGTGTCATTAGCAATGTCATTAGATTGAAGCGACTAAGCAATGTTGTAAAAGTATGATGATCACAACTTGACTGAGTGACGTTGTTGAATTCGTTTCCCGGGAGAGATCAGTTAGCAGAGGGGAGGGGTGTGTGTGTGTGTGTGTGGAGAGGCGGGATGAGTTTTTTAAAACTTCCCTCCCGTTTCAGGCTTTCTCGACCGATTTTCAACATCGTATACTACAGCTTTAAATCATTCATTATATCCAATTTCTTAAAACAGGTAAATACATAGTAAAGTACAACAATAGGCCGATGAACATTAGATGAACAAAATGAACAGTTTTTGGTCCTGAGACCCGACTAGGAAGAAAACAGCAAGATCATATCAGAAGACAAAATCATAAGCATAAGCAGGCATATAATAATCACGCACTAATGAGTGGATGAGTGGAGTTTTTCTTTTCGGCGTAGATTAAAACAAGAAACTATCTTTAACTTGTGTTAACCACACCTTATTTCAGGGATTTACTTATTTCACCTTAAACCCATTGACTTCAGGACAACGAAACCAGACGTGTTCGGCAAACTCAGTTGTGGCTCTCAGGACTCAGGCGGTGTGTGACAGCGTATCTCCATCAGTCCGTCGAGTTGTCTGCCCACACTGAAGCTCTGCGGTCGGGCGGTCACGTACTCCAGAAGGGCTCGAGCTCCAGACGTCAGAGCTCGGTTGATCAACACAACACAGCAGGTCGAGAGCAGATTCCCTCTCTGTAAGGCCAGCAGGTCTTGAAGATAAAGCTCAGGGTCATGATCCATTAGAACCAGATCCAGACAATCATTCCCAGTGTGGGAGCTTAAAGACGAGATGGCCTCAGCCTAAGAGCATGTCAGAACCTGTAACTGAGCAAAGACATGCAGAGGTCATTTTACCACACGCTCTTTGCAGGGTTTTAAAATTAAAATGTAAGGCTTTTTAACTCGATCTCTGCTGGCGTTTTTGAAAAAGTTGCCAGTGCCAGCATATTTTTAAAAATAATTTTCATAAAAATGTCATGGCCTATTGCATCTGAACCTGCATTATACCAAAAGACACAACTGACCCCTGAACTTTAAAAAATAAAAACTGTTTTAATTCACACTGAACAAAACGATAAACTCAACACTTTTGTTTCTGACCTCAGATGAACTCAAAGGTCTAAGACTTTTTCTACTGTTAAATGTCCGAGCAAAATGTAGATCTACATCTGGGGAGCGATACTTCTTTGATGGTGAGGGAACAGTCATAAATGCCATTAACCCCAGTGACGGGTCGGTTTAGGGACGGGGTTGAGGTAAGTCAAGTCATATATTTATATATACAGTAATAACTTTTAGTAAAATTCTTTTTTTAACCCGTAATTGAAAAACAAAAAATGAACGGTTGTTGCAAGCTATTTTTAAAATGCAAAGTTAAACACCAAAATTTTTGTATTTGAACTGTAGACACACCAAATGCTGCGCAAAAAAAAAAATATATATATTGATGTATTTTCAGATTTTAGTATATGACTTTTTGCCCCCTTATTAAACATTTAAAATATTCACAAATTAATATGGTAAAGAATGGCTCTGGGCCCATACAGAGAGGTGATTTAGGCTATAGGTGATTATATGTCTAAAAAAATAACAATGCATTTTAATTGTATTATTAATAAACTAGTATTTTCTAAATTAGTGTCGGCTGGAAACATGTCTCCATCTCCGCTGTGAAACAGATGTGCCTTTAGAGAGGAAGTCACAGCTATGGATTAATCCGACGTTTGCTTTCGATTCGAATTTGTTCGTTTAAAAGAGGACATTTAAAACTTTAGTCTGCATAGCTAACGTTAGCCTATATATTGTTTCAGTTCATTTTCGACTCGATCCAGTTCACGGAGATCCTGAAAGCACGCCTGATTGTTTTCTTTTATTTTACAAAAGCACTATGTTTTCTTGTTATTGTGAGTTTACACAAATAAAAGTAGCTGCGAATGATGTATTGCTATTTTCTGTATGACCAGAAATTATCGAGTATTTTAAGTCGTTTCCACTGTTGATAGGAAAACGCAAGTGTTCCCGCCGGCGCCTCCGTCCAGTGCGCTCCACACTCCGCACACACACTTGGATATCCGTTTTTTTTGTAATAATCTTGGCCCCGTTTTAGTATTATCTAACCTGTATTATGGCTGATATTTGACGAATTGCTTAATTTAGGTGGATTCTCCTAGCCTAAATGTAGGCTAATAATAATAATAATGATGACAAATTATTATTTGCGTTTATAACTATAAATGAGTTCACTTATCATAAAACAATTTATTTATGTTTTTTTATGTAACCAAACATTTTACAGTTTTTGAAATGTTTTTATTTTAGGCTATATTTCTTTTTTATATGTGATATTTACACGTCAGTGCATCACTAGTCTTGCCTTATTAATAATCTTAATAAACTGGAATTAATTCGACAACATATTATTATGACACTACATTAAACCAAAAATAAACAGATTTCCACTCGTCAGGCATCTACAGATCTATTGCAGTCCTGTGATACCTGCTGGTGTTTGAAGCCTGACACTAGTATGATCTCCTCGCCTCGGTCTGCGCTCAGAGGATCCAGCTCGACAGTCAGCAGTTGTCCAGACGGAGGGAGCAGACGCAGGATCCTGACTGAGGCGTACCCACAGTGTGTCCCCAACTCCAGAACCCTCCGCGGGGCTTCACGCTTCACAATCTCATCCAGGAACTCACCTACAACCACAAGAGGACATGTTACCACGGAGCAGAAGACTAGCGGATTCAGCATTACCTGATTAAATAAAGCATTTTATAGAACATCCACTATAGACATACTCTAACATTCACAACATGCATCTGCAGAAACAGGCAATTATAACTGGTCATTTACATAAAGAAGTCTTATAGGTACATTAGAAATAGACCCCTATACAGTTGGTAAACATGGTGATGTTTTTTTCTGGGCGGAGCTTAGGTGGAGGCAGAACGATCCCTCTGGCCGCTTCACTAACGCGAGTTAGCAAGGATTGTTAGCTTGTTTTTTTAACAATGACTGGAGAAAATCCGATATTATCTTAATGTGTAAGGTCACTCAGTGTCCAGGACCGCGATTGTTATTTCCAAAAGTCATTTTTAACGGACAGAAGAAGAGAAGACGACAATGTAAAGAGTGTCATGACGGTGCGATTTTAATCATGTGAATATTTTCTAGAAATAAAAAATACAAATACAGCATATTCATTTTTCATTGATACTGTCTTGCACCAAACAACACAATAAGATGATATTTAATAATAATATAAGTAATTTAAGCTCCTTATTATGTAGCCGAATCTGTGCTGGTTTGCATTGGCCGCCTCCAGTTTTCACTTTGTTTTGCCTCCAGCTAGCGCCGTGACGTAACTGTGACGTCGGCACAAAAGGGGTCTATAGAGTGTTTGAGGGTCAGAAATTGTAGAAGACAAAAATTAAATGCTACTGAAGTGAAGAAAGAGGATGACCTTTTTAACAATGAAAAGAACATCCATTAAATGTGATTAGTAGAAGTGTTTAAGGAGGCACACACACATCTGGATAACAGACCTTTCTGAGGGCCAATGTTGAAGGAGGAGTGTGTGGCGGAATAGAGGTCGAAGGTCAGCAGAACACTCTGAGCCTGTCCGTGGGTGCAGTTGGAGAAGACATAGGCGTGAGTGGAGCTGACACACACCTTCCTGTGAGAACGGCCCAGTGTGCCAGAATACAGCTGACGGCACAGAGCCAACAGAGGAGAGCGGAAAACAGCCGTCATCACGAGCACAGCCGAGAGCAGAGGAACCGAGAACACCAGCAGAGACATCACTGAACATCAGTGAACCCTACAGGAGACATCACTGAACATCACTGAACATCAGTGAGACCTAGAGGAGACATCGGTGAACCCTACAGGAGACATCACTGAACATCATGAACCCTAACAGCGACATCAGTGAACTAGAAGAGACTTTTTTTACCTTTATTTAACCAGGAAGTCCCTTGAGACTGAAATCTCTTTTTCGACGGAGACCACTGGCCAAGACGGCACACCAGTTACAATTTAAATACAAAATACAGCATAGTCAACAAACAAACAAACAAGCGTCACACATTAGAAGGAACAGGTCACATATGGCAGTTACATTTTTGAGTTATATGGCATTTTAACATGGCCTTAAATTCATTTAATGGGACTAGATCAGTTAGTAAGTTTAATGTAAGTTGGTTTTTCCAAGTCCATGGTGCAAAATAAGAGAAAGCTTTTTCCCAGCTCAGTAAAAACCCTTGTTAATATTTTCAGACACATTTTTACCATAAACGCATCATCTTTCCTGTCCCTGAACAACCAGCTGGATGTCAACCAATCAGGCTTCGGGAAAGGGCATTCAACCGAGACTGCATTGCTGTGGTCAACCACAAGAGGTCATCTTCCCCTACGGTGTCAGACACATTAGAAACTGCATTTCCCACAATCCTTCTGTTCTCATCATCGTTCACTGCACCCAGCTGTCACCCATTAAGATTGTTAGTCTGTGTGTATTAGTACCCTGCTGGTTTAGTGTTTGTTACGGAGTCCTTATCTATTATATCACCATATCTGAGGTCTGTTTCTGTCTGCTCACTGTTCTGGATTGCTTATGTGGATGTTCACCCCTGCCTGGACTGTTTTGTGAGTAATTCATTTCCCTATTAAAAACTGCATTATTGGATCTTCTGTGTTCCTTGAGTGTGGATTGTGACAGAAGGACTCTGTCCAGGTCAAGATCCAGAAAGTTTTTAATAGGGAAATCTGTTACTCACAAAACAGTCATTTTAAAAATTACAAGGTCAAAATATATATAGCCTGTATATTTTTAATGAACAAACAAATGCAGCAGAAAGGCTAAAATCTTTCCGTGGCAGGGTCAGCTGTCACCGAGACCCGTCACTCCACCCGTCACCGCCATATGCGCCTGTATCTTGACCCGTCACGGCTATATGTGCATGTCCCGCGTGTGATCACTAGCAGTGCCGAGTCTGACGAAGACGGAGAACTGTGGAGATGTGACAAAGTAGTTGCTTGTGCAAAATCAAGGAAGAAGCAGTTCTGTTAAATGTCACACATGAACATGTTTTACCAGATTTAGTGCTACACTTATTGTCTCTTATTTGTTCCCCACTAATTTTTTTGTTCACTAAATGTTCAGATTTTAAACAATTATTGTGCACGCTGAATTACCCACTAATCTAATTTATAATAGCATTTTTGTCATAGGTTATGATCTTTTTTTTTTAATTTGTTGTTTTTCTTTATAATGAAGCTGTCTGTATTAAGTAGATTGTGTCTAACACAAAATAGTGATGATCAGTTCAACACACAGAGTTAGAGAAATTCTACTTGTTTTTTTTTTAAACTGCGCTCGGAACGGTTTAATTCGATACTCTGAATTTTTGGTATTGGATCGGTTCAGAAATGGTATCCCTAATATTTTCTGGTAGGCTATATCTAAGTTACTCAGGAGCTCTGTTGATGTAGGCTAAGCTAAAGCAGGAGTGAACGCAACATTAGCCAGCTAGCTAAAGCTCCGGACGGTGGAAAAGTATTCGCTAACGCTACGGAGGCCATCATATTTTAGACTAAAGGCCAATTTATACTTCTGCGTAGGGTGCGCGCAGTAGGTACGGCGTAGCATACGCACAGACGCGTCCCATACCGCGTACCCTTCCGCGTTGCCTGACGCGCACCTCTTCAAAAATGTAACTACACGTCGCAACGACGCGGACCGCAAGATCGGTGATTGGTCGGCTTGGTAGCATCGCATTTCCTCCTACGCATTTCCGCACGTACCTTCTCACGCATTTCCACACGTACCATCTCCTCTGACATCTTCTCTCATTTCTGCCTTTCAGTTTTAGTAATTTCACTAAAATGAACTATTTTCCCACCCCAATAAGCTCCAACTCCAACATGATCCACTCTCTTTCAGTCGCTATTGCTTGTAGTAACCTAGCCGCGAGGAATAAACACAGTGGAACATTAAAACCCTCCGCCGCCAACTAGCGTTTCGGAGCAGTACTGCAGAGCAACCAATACCTGAACGCAGAAGTATAAATGCTCACGACGGCGTCGCCTACGTGCGAAGCCAACGCCGTACACTACGGCGTACCCTCGACGCAGAAGTATAAATTGGCCTTAAAGGCCAATTTATACTTCTGCGTAGGGTGCGCGCAGTAGGTACGGCGTAGCATACGCACAGACGCGTCCCATACCGCGTACCCTTCGCCGTCGCCTGACGCGCACCTCCTCAAAAATGTAACTACACGTCGCGACGACGCGGACCGCAAGATCGGTGATTGGTTGGCTTGGTAGCATCGCATTTCCTCCTACGCATTTCCGCACGTACCTTCTCACGCATTTCCACCACTGTCTATGATTTCCACAAGTTTCATCTCCTCCGAAGTCTTCTCTCATTTCTGCCTTTCAGTTTTAGTAATTTTACTAAAGTGAACTGTTTTTCCACCTTAATAAGCTCCAATTCCAACATGATCAGCTCTCTTTCACTCGTAGTAACCTAGCCGCGAGGAATCTAAACACAGTGGAACATTAAAACTCTCCGCCGCCAACTAGCGTTTCGGAGCAGTACTGCAGAGCAACCAAGACCTGAACGCAGAAGTATAAATGCTCACAACGGCGTCGCCTACGTGCGTAGCCAACGCCGTACACTACGGCGTACCCTCGACGCAGAAGTATAAATTGGCCTTAATGGCTGAAGTTACGTTTCTCCAACTCTCCCCAGGTTGGCAAAAAATGCATCTCAAAATGCATCAGATTGATGCTTTAAAATATGCAATATTAAATATTTTCTTCAAGGGGACACGCCTCGACCGACCCCCTTACAGGGGTAATAACCTTCTCACCTTTTTCATGACCCGTTTTCATGCCCGTAAAGGTAAGAAACCTGATAGATTTATTATTATTTTTACGCTGTCAATTAACTGATGTACACCTTGAATTGAGATACTTAAATATAAGCTAGGGGGCCTTTTGAGGTAAAGTGCCCAGGGGCGCTACACTGTCTTAAAGGAGTAGTTCACTTAAAAAAAAACTTTTGCTGATAATTTACTCACCCCCATGTCATCCAAGATGTCCATGTTCAGACATGTTCTGTCCATGTTCTTTCTTCAGTCGAAAAGAAATGAAGGTTTTTGATGAAAACATTCCAGGATTTTCTCCATATAATGGACTTCAATGGGAACCAAATGGTTCAAAGTCCAAAAGACAGTTTCAGTGCACCTTCTAAGGGCTTTAAACGACACCAAACGATGAATAAGGGTCTTATCTAGGACTCTTCAAGTCATGACTCGAAAAAAGATTTGTTCATTTTGATGAACGAGTTTGAACAGGAGAGTCTTGAACGCTCATCAGAACATAGCAAGGCGAGCATTTGAGCTTATAAAACTTAAACGTTTTTTTTTGTTTTTTTAAATGAGCGATCGTTTCGCTTGATAAGACCCTTATTCATCGTCTGGTGTCATTTAAAGCCCTTTGAAGCTGCACTGAAACTCTCATTTGGACCTTGAACCGTTTGGTTCCCATTGAAGTCCATTATATGGAGAAAATCATGGAATGTTTTCATCAAAAACCTTAATTTCTTTTCAACTGAAAAAAAGAAAGACATGGACATCTTGGATGACATGAGGGTGAGGAAATTATCAGCAAAAGTTTTTTTTAAAAGTGAACTACTCCTTTAAGACAGCAGACTTGACAGCTAACCCTACCACTCCCTCTCGAAAGCATTGACAATGTCTATAGTATGCTTTTAGAAAATACAATACTGAATCTAATATTTTCGAAAATCAATATTTAGCAAAATATGTGGTTACTTACTACTTATTTATAGTGAAACTTTTCCTCCGTGGAAAACCACAGAGAGAAGTTTTCAGCTAATCTGAGCAAACTGATGACTGGAGGAGGAGAGGTTATCAAGCTCGCACTGAGTGTGTTGCCTACATTACACATGTTCTGAAGATACAGTTAAATTATGAGGATCACGACAACATTTACAGATTCTGCGTCCAATAAGTTGAGTCGGCTACTTCCGACATAATTTTGTTAATTTCAGCAACAAAAAATATATTAATGTCCTGCCTACTCACTGTTTCAAAGTCTATGACCACATCATGCCATAAACACATGTCAACATGATTCTAGTGTTAATCTCGCAAGTGATCGCTAGTTTCCACATCTCTATACATTTGTTTAGAACTTCGTCGCTATGACAAACATATAGTTAGTCTTGTCGGATTTATCATAATAATTAAAAACGGGTAAAAAAAAAAAAAAGGTAATTGAGGTGCAGAACTTACCAGTGACATGAACAGGAATCTTTTGCGGTGTATGAGTGAAATGCATTGTGAGTGTGCAGATAAAGAGGCTGACACACACCTGATCACGGAAGTGTACGAGCAACCTTAAGGTACAGAGTACGTTCATCTGGGGTTTCAATCTGGGTCTGTAAAAATAATTAACAAAAAAACTGCTAAATAAAACTAATAAATAAATATTGAAATAAGTAAATAAACAAATAAATTATAAAATGAAATAAAATAAATAAATGAAAATTGATTACTGACCCCGCCTCTAAACCAAACTCATCTCCGCCCCCATCTCCGCGCGTGATGTCCGCTAGATGGCAGCACGTGATCAAACACGGGGTATAATCACACATGACATGTAAATCATGACATCACTGATTCCATCAAACACAGTTCAACCACTACATCCTCAAACCAGTGCTGGAAGAAAAGAGATTTGTTTTTATACAGAATATCATAAGAGAAGTTTCCTTTCGAATAGTCCATTGTGTATATCCTCAATACCTTCTTAAATTCAGGAAAGATGTGAACAGCAGAGATAGTGTGTTTATCTTGGCTAGGCCATTACTGTACATTACTGTGGAAAGACTTGTTACTGAGAACACTGAGAAGGATTTTTCTCTACTTTGGGGAAATGTTTTGTTTGGACTTGCTAACTGGAAAAGAAAAAAATTCTTAATAGCTATTCTTTTTTTTTTTTTTTTTTTTTTTTTTGTTAACAAGATTGTACTATATATATAAATGCACATTTTCAGGTCAGAAACCACTTTTCTATGTTCCTGAAGTAGCCTACAACATTACTTTGGGACCGTCTCTGACTTGTGTCACAAGAAGTATTTAAAAACTATTGAAATATGAAGTCTTTTAGTCTTTTCCTTAGATATGTAATCTTTTCTGATTAGTTATATACTCCTGTCTCGTGCCTTTTTTCTTTTTTCTCTTGTTCTACATTGTGACTGTTTCCTTCTTTGTTTAATGTTCTCAATTAAACATAAAAAACATGAGCATCTGATGTTGAAAAAGTTGCTGCTATTCATTCAAAAGGTAATAATTTCAGAGAGAGAGAAAAAAATTATGTAATAATGTAAACAAATGTTTGACCTTGTAAACTAATGCAATGAGACTCTGTGAGTGTCCCAATCATTTTTTGGAATAGTTGTGTGTGAATATGTGTTTACTTATTTAAGAAAGAAAGTTCGGTTACATTTTATTTTAATGTGTCCCTGTTACAGTGCACTTATATAAGTACTGAGTAATATTAAGTTATTACATGAATTTATGATTAGGGTTTGGTTGAGGTTAGTTGCATGTAACGGAATAAGGTTGAGGAGAAAGAAATGAGGCTCCTGGAGACTCTCTGTGACTCAAGTGTCCAAATTATTTTTTGGAACATTTGTGTCTGAATATTTGAATGTATCTGAACTACTTCTCATGTGTTTATTACTTATTTATAAGTTATAATGGAACGGAACTGGAGCAGGGCGTGTTCAGTGGGCGTGGCCTTTGGGCGGCGCTGGGAAGTAATGCTCGACTCTGATTGGCTGTTTGGGCCGGTGGGCCGTGCTTGGATGCGAAGCTGCACTCTGATTGGCTGTTCGGGCAGTGCGCGTATCTCATCTCATCCGCGAGTGCGACAGCAGCGCAGCCCTGCGTCACGACACACACACACACACACACACATACACAGAGAGTCCAGAAATAACTTTACCTGGCGAGTTTCCGTCACTCGTCGGGCGCGAGGAGGGTTTATCGAGCACCAGCTCTAAATGGCGAGTCGAGGTTCGGATGAAGGACGGCATCATCCTCTGCAGGATCATCATCATCACCATCATCATCATCATCACACCGAACCTGCTGTGCGCGAGGCGCAGAGATGGATAGAGGTGCGTGACGTCATGCCACTGCGTTATTCGGGAATACAGTGTGTGTGTGAATGATGCGCTTGCTGGACTTGTGTCAGTGTGTGTGTGAGTTATTTTTGTCACCTGTTGACACAAATTAGCTGAAGGATCCTGATGGAATGTTAGTGGAATTGTTACCCTAGGAACCAGTCCTAATGGGATCAACCCAGAATCCCAAGGATCAAATAAGATCTTATTCCAGTAATCCAGCACTGCTTCTGGATCAGTTCATCTCGGGGGATCATTAGTTCAGGTGGAATAGTAAATGCACAGATTGTTGGGTTATAATTGTATTGACATGATTTGACTTGTTGAAGTAAATTCGTGGTTTGTCAAAAATATCCTAAAGCAATATGAGTGGGATTTCTCTCATTATTCAGAATGTCTCCTTGTGCAGGATGATGATCAGGCCATCAGGTAAGATCTGAATCATTGGAGATTCCTCTCTTATTTATCCCAGGGAATGCTCAGAATGTCTGTTTATCCAGTTGGATTCTGTTCGCATTCCTTTAGGATTTTGGACAAGCGATTGTGTACAGATTCCAGGGGTTTTAGACCTCAGTGTCTGCAATTTAAAGTCACAGTGAGACGTAAGAAGCAACAGATCTTTTCTTCCATATTGTGGCATACGGCAAAGTGGAATGGATTATGGAAAGACATATCATAAAAGATTATATTGGTTGCTGGCTGTGATGGAGGCAGATCTGAATGAAAGTGGCGGATTTAAATGTTTGGGGAACTGTAACATTGAGTTATCATATTTTGACAAGACCAATATATACAGTATATATTAATGAAGCAAATGCATGAATGAATTGTTCACAAGATCATTAGCATACATTATGAAAATAAGTCAATCATGTCATGCTGAGTTTATTGTGTGGCATTGTTTATGTCTTTACCATTGCACAAATGCACGACTCTCTCTCTCTCTCTCTCACACACACACACACACACACACACACTTTTCTCATTGCATTGGTTGGACACGAGTAGCATGCACGACCCAACTGAAGCAGTCTTATGTATCATAAATGCCCATTCACTTTCAACACCACAAGGGTGACTTTGTGCCATTTTGTACAAAACAAAAGCATTTCAACTCAAACTTACTGATTAAACTTTGTAATTTTTCCAGATGTTGTTTAATATTTGCTAAATTATTCACAAATAATGTTTTTTTTCACTCAAAAACTGCGGTGCATAAACTCAGATTCATGAGGCGTACGATGAATCTGTTTGAAAAATGAAAACAGAAAACAAGTTGAAATATTTGGTGATAATATAGCATAACGAGTGACTTACAGTAATAGGTATTTTGGTCATTTTTGACCGGGATGACCACAAGTGTGACAAAAGCAAAACAGAAAAAAGGGGAAAATAATAATAATAATCTTTTTTTTTTTTTTCGAGAAAATTCCATTTGAGTCAAAATGAGCTGAACACAACACGAGGGTTAAACATGTCCTGGTACTTCATGCTTGCCTCTTGCGTTTAGCATGACTCGCAGCGGTCAACTCAAACTCAGAGCCAGATGCCCTGAATAACTGTTTATTGAAAAGCACATGGCTCAGCTAGAGGCTTTTGTGAGCGCGGCGTGTCTTTTGTGTCCATTGTGTGTGTCTGCTGTGAAACTGGAGTGTTTTTACAGCGCATGGGCCAGGTGTGTTTCATTTTATTTTTCTGGAGCAAAAGTAAACAGATGATCCACAAGTTGTTTCATGCATCTGAGTTGTTTTATCATGGATCTGACTGACACTGTGCTTTATGGTGCCAGATAAACGTTGGCATACGTTCATTTCCCCAAAACCACATGAATGTTTTTCTTTATGGACTGATGACATCTAATGTTACATGTTTTGAATGAGTCTGAGAAAGGCTGTTTTGGGTGTTGCTAAGGTGTTATAAGAGGTTACTAGGGCTTTTCTGAAATAGAAGTGTAATAGTTCTCTGTAGCAAAACTATACATCACATTTCAATACTTAATTCTTATCCCAGTCAGTGTTAAAAATTTATTTTTTTATCATTTTTACAAAACTTTCATGTCCCCCAGAGATATGTAAAGGTGTTTATTATATCATAACCTCTTGGAAAGTACTATTTGGAGACTTCAGAGAGCTTTCATGGAGACTTCATTTAATATTGTTAGTATAAGTGCTTTACAATGAATTAAATAATCACAATTAATTAAGAGTGAACTAGATAGAGAAATAAAATCCAAATGAACAAACATTAGGCGGTCAAAAATATCCAAGATAGACTCATGCCACTCGGAGGGGCGGGATTTTCCAGGAACGTTCCCTGGAGCTGTTTTGGAAAACGAGAGAGGTTTGTTCAGTATTTATGGCATTGTCGTGATCCTCTCAGATGGTTTGGCTAGGCCTGTATTTGTGCCCTACAGTTGATTTGCCTTGCAAAACCCAAATGGATTAGTCGATCAAGCAGTTAAATGGAAATAATAGGACACATAAAGTGTTAGCGATCAAATATTGTAACTTAGATTGAAGATATGTTGCAGTAATTTACTCACTGTCGTTCCAAAGTTGTATGACTCTCTAGAGTTTATGGTCTATGGTCTACAGTTATTGTCTCCAACTCTTCTCTATTTTACTACAAAAGTGGATGGTGATTTTTATTGTTTTACCATGAAATTGGTGAAATTAGTGAGATGAAATGAAATTAGCATAAAACATGTCCTCACAGGTTTTTCAGTCTGAAATTTGACATTGGCATCGAACCTGGTGTGGTGTGTTGTGTTCTGGCAGCATGTGTGAATATGCTCAAGCCGAATGACGGAGGACAAGGTCTTCAACAAACACTTAAATGTGATTCTGCTCTGAGTTTGGAGTGAAGAGGATAGTTGTGTCCCTTGAAAACATGGACTGAGGTGTGATGATGATGATAGGAAGATCTGAGAGTGGATTATGAGGATATGGGGATTTGTGTAGTGGAAAGGACACACACACAGACACACGCTTGAATACAGCACTCTTCTACTTCAGGAGGAAGGGTGGTAAGTGGGACACAGCTTTAGAGATCCAAGAGGTGTGTGTGTGTGTGTGTGTGTGTGTTTTAAGTGGGACAGAAGTGATGTACTCATGGGATCTGGGCTCTTTCTGCTCATAAGAAACTGCTGCCTCTGTGAACTGTAGACACACACACTTATCCATACACTCACTCAGAGTGACATAGTAAACACTCAACCACTGCCCGGTAATCCAGGTCTTTAGTGGTGTTTTCTAAGGCCCCGCCCACACTGCTGCGTCCCCGTCCCGTCCAGACCTTTTGCTACGTTTGCACCTCCCGTCCACACTAAAACGGGAAAAACGAAGACCTAAAACGGAGAAGTTTAGAAACGCTGCAGCTGCGTTTTTCGTTTAGAATATCCGGAGGGCGTTTTAGTGTGTGGACGAGACAAAACGGAGAACTTCAGAAACGATGACGCAGAGGCTGACGCTTGGCTCTATGATTGGGTGTTATCAGTCATGACGTATCCTTCCCTGATTCGTCATTCACTGTTTACACCGGCACGCGCATGCCCAGTGTTGGTGAATGGTCACGTGATCCGCGTTTTCAGTCATTTTAATGTGGACGGAGATCGTTTCTAATACGCAGACAAAACGCTGGTGTGGACGGAGATCGTATTCGTTTTAATTCTCCGTTTATAAACGAAAACGCAGTGGTGTGGACAAGCTAAGGCAAGCTTCACTAGTTACAATTTTTTAATGGAATATTGCTGCGTTTACTTTAAATGATTTATCGGTGAACATTATTATTGTGTAATCTTGATTCAGAATCAGTTCCTCTGCAGCATCTCTTCTCTTCTCTGATGTGGGCGGGGCTATAACCTGTCACTCACATGAGATCAGCCAATAGCAAAACACAGCCTTCCAATCAGACACAATCAATCCCTGCCCACATGTGTTCTCGTTCCTGAAGCGTTTCACTCGGATATACGATAAAACGGTAGAAAATACTAGTGTAACTTCAGTTTCATGATGACTTTAAAGAATTAAACTTCAGAGAGTAACTAACTTAGGGCTTGTTTGTGCTACAAACATAAAAGTGTCCGTTTACTCAGTGTTAAGTACTATGACATACAGTTTTCACCTTCCGCCAATAATAGACACGCACTGAAGGGGGAACTGGAGCTGGATTGAAGTGAATCAGAGAGATTAGGGCCAGGAAGGTGTTTTTCCACAGTTGGAGTGCAGCTGAATTCAGAGCAGCCTTCATCCTTCAGTCTGGGGTTAAGTAGCTTCACTCCTGACTCACCATGACGCTTAACACTAACAATTTTGCATGATAACTGTTGGAGCTGGGTGATTATGTAGTCTACATTTTGTGACAGTACAAGCAACAAGCAGTTGAGAGATGACAGTGTATGTCTCTTGTCTCGCTCTCACTCATCTCTCTGGTTCTGCTTTTTCAGTTTGTTCAGAATTTGACTAGTAAATGATGTGCACAGCGAGGCGGACTCAGACGCAGCTCATTCTGGTGGTTTCATTGATATGTCTCAAAGCTGTCACTCAATAACACGTTCACACAGAGCTGTAATGAAGAGCTAGATAGATCATCAGATCTGTGGAAGTGAAGTGACTCTCAGCTGGGGGGTTTCACACGAGCGCTTTCAGTTCATATGAAGTCTGGGACGATTTGCTGCTGATGTGAAGGCAGTTGAAATGAACAGCTATTTATACTGATGAGCTTCAAGCTGACAGATTTAAATTGATCTCATTTCTGTTAATCTAGCACGTTATAGGGCTTTAGAACGATTAAGAGGCGTTTGCACCTAGCCTGGTTAAAACCAGACCATTCTCAGTTGTATGTGAGATGTGGTCTGGCAAAGCTAGCAAATCTCCAAGTGTTGTACTTTGCTCGGTTTTTAACAAAAAGGAAACGTTCAAATCACTTAAAACAGACGTGATAGCTGATTCGAACGAGTGATGTTCGACAGCGGCGTCCATCTTTGTAATGTAGGC